TAAAGTATAAAGCTTAAAAAATAGTGTAGGTCGACAGATCTATGAAACATTGAAAATCTTAAAAATCGATCGTAAAAAAATACGTCATAACCTACACTATTTTCAAAACTTAAAATCCATTTTTTTCTCATGGCCATGTTTCTTAATGTCGAGATGATCAATTTAAAGATATTTGAACATCAAAACAACCTCTCTTAACGAAATTTTTTAGATAGGTTTAAATTTAATTGTTTAGAGCCTCGGCTTTATATAAACTTTGCCCTTTTGTTTTTATGACGGATATTTACAGAAAAATGGGTTGTTATTTGGAGCACAAGCAAACGTGAAGTTGGTTTTCCATGGCATGCTTTGGGCAGTGGGATAGTGGATAAGGATTGGGAATCTTTACCTTTGGTGCTCCATGTTTTGCCACGTGTCAGAAGATGCTTATAGTTCCAGAGTCCAGCGCCTGTCAGTTGATGGTTGGGATCCTTCGGGTCCCCACACTTTCATCATCTCACACGAAACAAAACTTATCAAGGTTTAAAAAGCCATCACGTTTGGCCTGACTCGTGTAACGCCAGGTGTACTCTTATTAGCATTAACGTGACCGAGGATGATGGTGGACATGCCGGTGTTCCGTCGGGTTGAGCAATTGATCATTCGTTTGAGTCGATCTGATTTAGAGTAAAATTAAATTGAGAAAAAAATTAGTCACGATCAGTGTTATAAACTGATTTTAGCCGATATAAGAAGTCAGTTTTTACTGATTGACTGTCCAAACAACGTTAGCAATTTTTGTTTAACGTATTATAATATTTTAAATTATTATTTTTAAAAAAATTACCATCTATCTTTTCTGAATGAGGTTACTTACATACGTTTAAGTGTATTTCCAAACAATCAAGGAAGTAGGTTTTTTTTTTTTTGGAAATTTTTTTTATAAGGATGCTACCTTATAATGCAGAACTACGGATGTCCTTAAAAAATCCATCGGAAAAAGTAGTTTTAATGTTGAAAAACGCTTTGATTGATAATTTTGACATCAAGATGTATGACTATGAAAAAAAAAAAGATTTTAGATCTAAAAAATAGTGCAGTTTACAACATATTATCTACACCGTCTATTTTCAAGATTTTCATATGTTTATAGATATATTTGATTTTAATCATTTTTGAAGTTTAAAATTTCGTAATTCGATATAAAAATAGATTTTGAGATAATCCTAAAAATATTTTACATCAAAATTATATACCAAGATAAATTTTGAAGGTGCACTTTACCTCTACACTTACGGATGCATCTCTATGTAAAGTGCACTTTTTTTTTTTTTGGTGGACATGAAGTGGATTTGATTGAAAAATGTACGAAAGAAAAGAAAAGAGCTCCCTTAAAAAAAGAGGAAACAAGAAGACAATATAGGTGAGATGAAAGGAGACCAAACGGCGCAAGGTTACAAAGTTCTATATCACCGTTGCCTTTTTCCCTAAATGTTCAACTTCTCCAATACGCACCCTGTGTATGTGCTTGTATACCGCTTCTCTCTCGGTAATCTCATCCGTGAATATCACGGCATATGTTTAGGGTCGATGCATCATGCAATAACATCCGGAGAGTCACTTTCAATAATCAAGTGCTAGTGGTTATGGTGCAGCTTGAAAACTCCAAGTTTTGAAGTCCATAGCTATGCTTTATTAATCCCATAACTATGCTTCATTAATCCCACAAAAGTACATACAGCCATGGTAGTACCATAAGATCACACCGTTTGAATCTCGCAATAGACCGTCTGCCACTTGCTCCTAAAATTTAACATTGCCATCAAAGTTTAGTTTGATCCAACGTAATGGTGACGGTTTCCAAAAACTTGATCGAATAAGCCACCTACGTTTTGAAAAATTGAGCTCCTTAAAATGGGTAAAGAGATTTTTTTTGGGGTAAACCAGTAATGAGGTAATTCGAGTGCCCAAATTTTGTCAGAAATTTTAATGGTTTGAGAGATCTGAGCAATGTCTTTCCTTTTTGCCCTTAAAGGTTCTAGGCAGTAGATCTAGCACATAAAATATGCCAAATTCTAGTATTCTCATGATTTATTTGAGAGGGGATTAACTAATCTCCAATTCTCAATTTTTGGGGGTTTTCTAACATTTCCTAATATTGTGAGTTTAAAGAGCTATTCCCTGTCATCCACTCACTTTATGTACTTTTCCTTCTGCACATTCCATTCACTATAATGATTTATCTTGACGAATAAAATTTTGGAATATCGTTACTGAGATATCACTTTATGCGGAAGTAATATAGGTCAAATCAATCTCTCTCTCTTAAAGTGGAAAACACAGAGAGAGAAAACCAAGTTATGATCTATCACTTTATGTGGGAATGTTAGAGATCATAACGAAGTTCTATAATTTTAGAGATCATAACAAAATTTCATCTTTTATATTTTCCATGCCTTTTTATTTAAAGAGGGAATCTTAAAAATTTAAGTAAACAAGTACAAAGCGCTCTTTCTTTGGTGTCCCTCTAGGTCTTGATGAGCCATTTAAGCAAAATTTGACTGTGGATCAAACCGGTTAGCATAATTTTTATTGTCCCTGGAGGTCTGGATGAGCCATTCAAGCAAAAATTGACTGTTGATCGAATTGGTTAGGATAATTTTTAAAAATAAAAATAATATTTAAAAAACATAAATATATGATATAAAAATGTTTAGTCTTATTGTTTTTGTTTCATCCGACCATTATAACTTACAAGTCAAATATTAATTTTGATTGATTTTCAAACAAATCCAAATTTTTTTTTTTTGAATTAGATTAATAACCCATTAGTCAAACTGGACCATCCCATCAGGTCTTAATAACTATGATTTATAAACAGGTTGGCGAGAAATTTAGTCCACTTCTCGTGGAAATGTTGGGTTTATGCCCGTTTTATAGCTTCGCTCCCACAACAATTTTTCTTTGTCCCTTTCTCTCGAACGTGTCATTGTGTTGGGGTGAATAAATTCATCCAATAAACGGGTGAATTATACTTGCTCATTGGGATATTTAAAATGAAAATAATAAAATTAGCTCATGAGATATTTAAAAAGTAAAAAATAATATTAGGTTATTGAATATTTAAAAAAATACTTTTAAAAAAAAGAGTAAAACATTAGGTCGTTGGGCACTTTTAGTCAATACACCCACTTTATAAATTATTTGTAGGGCTCTTTATTAATTATTCTACCTCACAAGTATAAATTTATTTATTTATTTTTCTAATGTTATCAAAACATGATGGCAAATTCATGTTTCTAAATTCTATATTTTTTTTCACATTAGATTTATTATTTGTGATGATCATGTCTTTGTTTTCTCTATATTAAATTAAAATTATATACTTTTGTTTTTCACTATAACATTGAGTAAAAAAGATCCATTTTATTGTAATGAGTTGCCCTTTTAAATTATATTTGACTGTAAAATGAATGTAATGGATTATAAACACTCAGATATAGTACTTATGCATTTTTAATAAAATAATAAAAACTATAATGCAATATCACTATTTTTTTGAAAACCTAAAAAAAACTAGATTTTAAAAAAAATTTAATAACTTTTTGAAATTCTTTTAATGCATGATCTTATACGTTCGGCCGATTCTCCGACCCTCATCGATTTGCCGATCCAACTTGATTTTCAGAATGAACAATCTGGGTGATTGATTCGTTTTTCAATCCTTGGTTAAAGGTATGATTCATGTTTTATTTTCGTTCTCTTTTGGAGTTGATGGTAGGTCTTTCACAGTCCCCATTTAACCAAACATGACTCCATTTTGGGCGCACGAGCATACGCTAATGACTCATTTATAAAGGCAACAAATTTTTATCTGAATTTCTCGTACTTTAATATGTTTTTGTTTTAATTTAATATTTTGGGTACGTTTTACTACATTTTAAAAAAAGTGGAGGAGAGAAAGGGTCTTAGATGTTGGAAAAATATTACTACTTGTAGTTAAATAGTCGGTCCAAACTATTTATCTTTTGTATATGGAGGTCACAATCATTCTGACTTATTAGATATCAAATTGGATGACTTAGATCCTAAATTTTTTTTTTTAGAACTTTGTATCTATTTAATGACACTTTTACAACTACCTATTTTGAAATTTAAGATACAACTGAAGATAGTAACCTACATATACAAGATAAATGCTTTTTTTGTAGATAATCCTCAATTTTATTGAGTGACGGCACTGAATCCTACGCTTTCGTTCATCCAACAAATTCTAAGACACAACCTTAAGTATGACAGGAGTGAGAAGCTCAAACTAGGTTTTGTAAGGTGGACCGGATCAGCCAGTTTTCCCATATTGAACCGTGATATGTGGGCAATTGGTCCAAGTCCCTCACCAAACTGGAACTTGAGGTAAGTCACTCCAAATTCATACTTTATAAGTTTAATATAAAGAGAGAAAAAAAAAAAAACTGTTTTGACTATTTGAGAACCATGCTAAAAATGTATTTTTATCTTTGTTTGAGAAATGTGGTTTCAGTACTGGAAATCTTTATGATAGCATTAAAATATATTTTCATCTTTAATTATAAAATTTATAGCTTCAAAAATAGTGTAGATTGAACAGATCTATGAAAATCTTAAAAATTGATTGTCCAAAAATGCTTTACAAGATGCACTATTTTTAAAACTTGAAATCCATTTTTTTCTCATGTCCATGTATCTTGATGTCGAGAAGATCAATTTGAGGATATTTAGGCATCAAAACAATCTTTTCTTGTGAAATTTTTGAGGTAGACTCAAATTTGATTGTTTAGAGCCTCGGCACTATATAAACTTTTCCCAAACTTAATTGGCGGGCTTTTATTTGGACTAATTCATAAACGGCCAATCCAAACGTGGAACTCTTCCCAACCTAATTAATACAGTGAGGGGCACAGTGCAATTACAGAAATCATCACCCCTTCCGAAGGAAACGCAAGAACATGATCAACCTCAAGGAATGATAGTTTTTTTAGAATTTATAAATCACCGATAATCATTACAAGAGCAAACACCATGTTTAAATGGTGAAATCGGCTCCTATCTCGAACAATGATCTCTCTATTATACACTTGAGACATGAGCTTTACTGCAACATGACAATCTGCGCAAATCCGAAGGTTCTTAACGACTCGAATCGGCAATCCATGGCTTGTGCTTAGCAAACAAAAGGCAATGGCCAACCTTTCACTATGAACATAGAGGGCATGCTCCTTTCCTTCTTCATCTAAGTCCAGGGCAACTTCCCTAGTGCTCCCTACATATCCCACCCACTTAATTTCATTCATAATCTCTTCTAGTTTTGAATGAATCTCATTAGTCTTTGGATGTGATTTATCTCCCATGAAAAACTCATGTACTATGCCATCCACTTCCATCAAACTACAACCCGGAGTCTTTTTTATCCCCTTTGATTTCATAACTTCCCTCACATTCTTAGCATCATCCCATCTACCTCTTTTAGCATACAAGCTTGATCAAAGCACATACCCCCCACAATTTAGAGGGTTCAATTCTATGAGTTTCTTGATGCCAAATTCAGCAGTTTCAGTGTTTTCATGAACCCTAGACCCACTAATCTAGGACCCCCACATTCGGCCACCAGGGGCTATTGGCATTGATTTTATAAGATCCGTAGCATTTCCTATGAACTCAGCTCTTGCATAAAGGTCCACCATGCACCCATAATGTTGTATCAATGGTTTGATCCCAAAATCCTTACTCATGCTATCAGAGTAATGTTCACCTTCATTCACCAAGCTTGCATAGCCACAAACACACAGGATCCCCACAGAGGTTATGGCATTAGGCCTTGTGCTCCAAATTTGCATATCCGAGAAGGCGCAAAGCATCCATCGGTGTGGCCATGCATCGTAAGTACCGTGATCATGGCTGTCCATGCTGTCACATCCCTCCGATCTACACTGTCAAGTACCTGCATCGCCCTCTCTATACTCCCACACTTCGCATACATGTCTATCAATGCCGTCCCCAATACAACATCTACCTCTATGCCATTCTTCTCAATGTACACATGAGCCCATTTCCCTTGCTCTAGAGCTCCTAAATGTGCACAAGCCAAAAGCAAATTAGACATTGTGATTTCATTAGGCCCTTGCGCTTGCATCTCACTAAACAAACTCAGTGCCTTCTTATACTTCCCAACCTTAACATACCCATTAATCATACTACTCCATGTGTCGCATTTCTCTCTAACATTTCATCGAAAAGCCAGCGAGCCTCTGCAATTTCAGCGGCACCCACTTTAACATACTCAGAGATCATGGCATTCCACAGTGCTGGGTCGCTTATAGAGCTTTCTTCAAATGCTTGGCGTGGTAATTCTATGTGACCACAGTAACTATATAGGCTAATCAAGTTGTTTAGAACAAATAAAATCATAATTAAACCCTTTATTTGAGAGGGGATTAACTAATCTCCAATTCTCAATTTTTGGGGGTTTTCCAACATTTCCTAATATTGTGAGTTTAAAGAGCTATTCCCTGTCATCCACTCACTTTATGTACTTTTCCTTCTTCACATTCCATTCACTATAATGATTTATCTTGACGAATAAAATTTTGGAATATCGTTACTGAGATATCACTTTATGCGTCAATCTCTCTCTCTCTTAAAGTGGAAAACACATAGAGAGAAAACCAAGTTATGATCTATCACTTTATGTGGGAATGTTAGAGATCATAACGAAATTCTATAATTTTAGAGATCATAACAAAATTTCATCTTTTATATTTTCCATGCCTTTTTATTTAAAGAGGGAATCTTAAAAATTTAAGTAAACAAGTACAAAGCGCTCTTTCTTTGGTGTCCCTCCAGGTCTTGATGAGCCATTTAAGCAAAATTTGACTGTGGATCAAACCAGTTAGCATAATTTTTATTGTCCCTGGTGGTCTGGATGAGCCATTTAAGCAAAAATTGACTGTTGATCGAATTGGTTAGGATAATTTTTAAAAATAAAAATAATATTTAAAAAACATAAATATATGATATAAAAATGTTTCATTTTATTGTCCTTGTTTCATCCGACCATTATAATTGACAAATCAAATATTAATTTTGATTGATTTTCAAATAAATTCAATTTTTTTTTTTTTGGATCAGATTAAGCGATTCGCAACCCATTAGTCAAACTGGACCATCCCATCAAGTCTTAATAACTATGATTTATAAACAGGTTGGCGAGAAATTTAGTCCACTTTACGTGGAAATGTTGGGTTTATGCCTGTTTTATAGCTTCGCTCCCACAACAATTTTTCTTTGTCCCTTTCTCTCGAACATGTCATTGTGTAGGGGTGAATAAATTCATCCAATAAACGGGTGAATTATACTAGTTCATTGGGATATTTAAAATGAAAAAAATAAAATTAGCTCATGAGATATTTAAAAAGTAAAAAATAATATTAGGTTATTTAATATTTAAAAAAATACTTTTAAAAAAGAGAGTAAAACATTAGGTCGTTAGGCACTTTTAGTCAATACACCCACTTTATAAATTATTTTTAGGGCTCTTTATTAATTATTCTGCCTCACAAGTATAAATTTATTTATTTATTTTTCTAATGTTATCAAAACATGATGGCAAATCCACGTTTCTAAATTCTATATTTTTTTTCACATTAGATTTATTATTTGTGATGATCATGTCTTCGTTTTCTCTATATTAAATTAAAATTATACACTTTTGTTTTTCACTATAACATTGAGTAAAAAAGATCCATTTTATTGTAATGAGTTGCCCTTTTAAATTATATTTGACTGTAAAATGAATGTAATGGATTATAAACACTCAGATATAGTACTTATGCATTTTTAATAAAATAATAAAAATTATAATGCAATATCATTATTTTTTTTAAAACCTAAAAAAAATTAGATTTAAAAAAAAATTTAATAACTTTTTGAAATTCTTTTAATGCATGATCTTATACATTCGGCCGATTCTCCGACCCTCATCGATTTGCCGATCCAACTTGATTTTTAGAATGAACAATCTGGGTGATTGATTCGTTTTTCAATCCTTGGTTAAAGGTATGATTCATGTTTTTTTTTTTTTCATTTTCGTTCTCTTTTGGAGTTGATGGTAGGTCTTTCACAGTCCCCATTTAACCAAACATGATTCCATTTTGGGCGCACGAGCATACGCTAATGACTCATTTATAAAGGCGACAAATTTTTATCGTAATTTCTCTGACTTTAATATGTTTTAGTTTTACTTTAATATTTTGGGTACGTTTTACTACTTTTTCAAAAAAGTGGCGGAGAGAAAGGGTCTTAGATGTAGGAGAAATATTACGATTTGTAGTTAAATAGTCGGTCCAAACTATTTATCTTTTTTACATGGAGGTCACAATTATTCTGACTTATTAGATATCAAATTGGATGGCTTAGGTCCTAAATTTATTTTTTTGAGAACTTTGTATCTATTTAATGACACTTTTACAACCACCTATTTTGAAATTTAAGAGACAACTAATGATAGTAACCTATATATACAAGATAAATGCTTTCTTTGTAGATAATCCTCAATTTTATTGAGTGACGGCACTGAATCCTACACTTTGGTTCATCCAACAAATTCTAAGACGCAACCTTAAGTATGACAGGAGTGAGAAGCCCAAACTAGGTTTTGTAAGGTGGACCGGATTAGCCGGTTTTCCCATATTGAACCGTGATGTGTGGGCAATTGGTCCAAGTCCCTACCAAACTGGAACTTGAGGTAATTCACTCCAAAATCACACTTTATAAGTTTAATATAAAGAGAAAAAAAAAAAAAACTGTTTTGACTATTTGAGAATCCAAAACCATGCTAAAAATGTATTTTTATTTTTGTTCGAGAAATGTGGTTTCAGGACTGAAAATCTTTATGATAGCATTAAAATATATTTTCATCTTTAATTATAACATTTATAGCTTAAAAAATAGTGTATATTAAACAGATCTATGAAAACTTGAAAATCTTAAAAATTAATTGTCCAAGAATGCTTTAGCAGTATTTTTAAAAATTGAAATCCATTTTTTTCTCATGTCCATGTATCTTGATGTCGAGAAGATCAATTTGAAGATATTTGGGCATCAAAACAATCACCTCCAGTGAAATTTTTGAGGTAGGCTCAAATTTGATCGTTTAGAGCCTCGGCACTATATAAACTTTTCCCAAACTTAAATGGCGGACTTTTATATGGACTAATTCATAAATGGCCAATCCAAACGTGGAACTCTTCCCAACCTAATTAATACAGCGAGGGGCACAGTGCAATTACAGAAAGCATCACCCCTTCCGAAGGAAACGCAAGAACATGATCAACCTCAATGAACGATAGTTTTTTTAGAATTTATAAATCACCGATAATCATTACAAGAGCAAACACCATGTTTAAAATGGTGAAATCGGCTCCTATCTCGAACAATGATCTCTCTATCATACACTTGAGACATGAGCTTTACTGCAACATGACAATCTGCACAAATCCGAAGGTTCTTAACGACTCGAATCGGCAATCCATGGCTTGTGCTTAGCAAACAAAAGGCAATGGCCAACCTTTCACTATGAACATAGAGGGCATGCTCCTTTCCTTCTTCATCTAAGTCCAGGGCAACTTCCCTAGTGCTCCCTACATATCCCACCCACTTAATTTCATTCATAATCTCTTCTAGTTTTGAATGAATCTCATTAGTCTTTGGATGTGATTCATCTCCCATGAAAAACTCATGTATTATGCCATCCACTTCCATCAAACTACAACCCGGAGTCTTTTTTATCCCCTTTGATTTCATAACTTCCCTTACATTCTTAGCATCATCCCATCTACCTCTTTTAGCATACAAGCTTGATCAAAGCACGTACCCCCCACAATTTAGAGGGTTCAATTCTACGAGTTTCTTGATGCCAAATTCAGCAGTTTCAGTGTTTTCATGAACCCTAGACCCACTAATCTAGGACCCCCATATTAGGCCACCAGGGGCTATTGGCATTGATTTTATAAGATCCGTAGCATTTCCTATGAACTCAGCTCTTGCATAGAGGTCCACCATGCACCCATAATGTTGTATCAATGGTTTGATCCCAAAATCCTTACTCATGCTATCAGAGTAATGTTCACCTTCATTCACTAAGCTTGCATAGCCACAAACACACAGGATCCCCACAAAGGTTATGGCATTAGGCCTTGTGCTCCAAATTTGCATATCCGAGAAGGCGCAAAGCATCCATCGGTGTGGCCATGCATCGTAAGTCCCGTGATCATGGCTGTCCATGCTGTCACATCCCTCCTATCTACACTGTCAAATACCTGCATCGCCCTCTCTATACTCCCACACTTCGCATACATGTCTATCAATGCCGTCCCCAATACAACATCTACCTCTATGCCATTCTTCTCAATGTACACATGAGCCCATTTCCCTTGCTCTAGAGCTCCTAAATGTGCACAAGCCAAAAGCAAATTAGACATTGTGATTTCATTCGGCCCTTGCGCTTGCATCTCACTAAACAAACTCAGTGCCTTCTTATAATTCCCAAACTTAACATACCCATTAATCATACTACTCCATGTGTCACATTTCTCTCTAACATTTCATCAAAAAGCCAGCGAGCCTCTGCAATTTCAGCGGCACCCACTTTAACATACTCAGAGATCATGGCATTCCACAGTGCTGGGTCGCTTATAGAGCTTTCTTCAAATGCTTGACGTGGTAATTCTATGTGACCACAGTAACTATATAGGCTAATCAAGTTGTTTAGAACAAATAAAATCATAATTAAACCATTTCTGCAAAATGTGTGCATGAATTCCACTGCCCATTTCTAGGTTTAAGTCATGAGCAAAAGCCTTTAGGAGAAATGGGTATGCATAATTATCAGGTGGGAAGCTTTGGTGGAGCATTTGAGTGTAGAGAGAGGGAGCTAAGGGAGTGGCCTCTAATCATAGTGTTCCAAGTAAAAGAGTTGTGGTTTTTGGTGTGAGAGAAAACAAGGTCTGCATATTCAAGGAAGCCAGGCAAGTGAGAAAGGGCACAAAAATATATGATTTTGCTTGTTGGGAGGGTATTATGCTGGGCTAGGCCATGGAGGACCACCTGGGCGTGGATTTGTTTCAAGTGGTCCATTGTGGAGCAGTTTTTTAAGAGAGAGAAAGAGTTTTGGAAGAGAGAGAGAGGGATATGGGATTTGTGGGTGGCACTTTTCATGTGTGCAAGTCATAGGTTTTTTCTCCAATGGAGAGTAGAAGGGGCTTTGCAAATAAGTGGTTATCTAACTCATATGGAAGTCCCATGAAAGTGCACACAAGAAATGGAGGATAGCACACAGGGTGCAGGCTGCTACAAGGTAAAATTGCAACTATTGAGAATATTAGAAAGAAAGGGAAAATTTTTGGTCAATGCATGCCTCTTTTGTTAAGAAGATCGGGAAAATGTTATGCATTTATATTTTCATTGTCCCTTAACTTATCATAGTTAGTGTTGGGTGATGCAAAAAATTGGTGTTTTGAGGATGATTCTAGATTCTTAGAAGAATATTTTAAATCATCTCAAGGTAAGTGGATTTTCCTAAGTTTGGTTATGATTTGGGACATTTTCAGAGCGGCTATAATTTGAGAATTATGGTTGGAAAGAAATAGAGGGATGGAGTGTTGTTTGAAACACAAGGGATTAAATATAGAATTTTGCATACAATATGGAACTGGTTTAGTGTCATTAAAGAAGGACATGGGACATCAAAACTTGACATTATGATCAATATAACAAATCTCATATCGCTTCGTTTCATAGAGGTTAGACCAGGAAGTATTTGGCAGCCGCTTGTAGCAGGGTGTTTCAAATTGAATTTTGATGGGTCTTCTTTGGGTAACCCAAGGCTGGCAGGAGTATGTAGAGTCTTTAAAGATAGTGAGGATTTGGTTATCTTTTGTTATGTTGGTCCAAGTGTGGTATTATATATGCAAATCATGTAGAAATTGCTGGTGTTATCTGAGTTTTAATTTGGAAGGAAAGATGCCTTGGTGATACGTTGGTTATTGAAGATGATTGATAAGATGTCGAGACCACCCTGGCATCTTAGATTCTTGTTATTACAAGTTGTGGTATTAATATCGTCTTTGTCAATAAGCTTTCATCATGTGTATAGAGAAGTGAATGAGATTATAGATGGTCTGGCAAAGAATGGTGCATTGTTGGATAATTTGATTGTGCAATGTTTTGAGAAATTTTTGTACTTCCCATTTTAGTTAATGAAAAGTAAGTACTCTTGTCAAAAAAAAAAAAAAAAAATTCCCATAAAAGTCTAAATAAATTCACATTTTAAAGCATCTAATGAGACCCAAACTGCTCAACACACAGATTTACTGCTAAAGCTTTCCTTTGAAATGTGCACTAAGGGTTGAAACTTGGATTTATTGCTAGACTGTTCTATGGAAAATGGAAAATGTGCATTAATGCTTTAGAAGACTGCATAATGTCCGTTTAATACATCATCATTTTGATTACTTTTTAATCTTAACTCATATTATTATTTGATCACTGAACGTGATTTGTACATGAGATTGAAGTATTAGATTTGTATTAAAAGGAAGAAATCAATTCAAGGGTCAAATTATTTTACAGAACTATTGGAAGGCATCAATTTAAGGGTCAAATTATTCTATACAAGACATCAAAATATCGTACAAAACTATTATCCTTGTATAATACATCAAAACCATGGGATGATCATCTTAGGGGGATCTTATTGTTGACTATGAAAAATATGAATAAGAGTTTGAAGGAGGGAAGAAGAAGGAACCCTTGACCCACAACAGATAAAGGAAGATTTATTCAATCACAATATTTTACAAACTACTATCCTATTTAACATTAGGAGTTTCATTTTTTTTAACTTCGATTTCACTCAGGTAACTCTTATAAAATATAGAACATGACTACATTTCCCAGGTGTAGGATTGAGAATCCTAACCAAAAGGTGCCCTTTGGTAACTTAGCCCTATTTGAGTGGCTTGACGAAATATTAATAATAATCTTAGTTGGTATTTTTGTCATTTGGCCCCGGCCCACTTAAGTAAGGCTAAATTATTAAAATGCCCTTATTGGTGTAGGGTTCTCAATCTTGAACATGGCCGCATTAATTACTTTTATTATATTTTTTAAAAAATATTCGAGTGAAATGAAACTTATAAAATATCAATCATAATGTCAAATAAGATAATTTACCGCATTTAATATTTTTTTTAATGTAACTTACCCTTTAATTTATATTTTTTCAAATAAAAACTTGATGGTGTTTTCTAAATGCAAGACCTTTTTCGTCTCTCTAGTTGACTGGGTCCATTAATCCCAGATTTTTTATTTAACAGGAGCAATTGAAACCAAATTAATTTACTGAATAATTATGAAGATTTATGCTGACATCCCTTATAATTGGTTGTATTTAAAAGATATGTCCCATGGTTTACATTGCGCTCATGTCTTTTTTTTTTTTTTGTAGTTTTAAACTTTTTCAAAAATACTATCGGTTTGGAGTTACTAGTTCCGCTGACATCCCTTATAATTGGTTGTATTTAAAAGATATCTCCCATGGTTTACATTGCGCTCGTGTCTTCTTTTATTTTTATTTTTTATTTTTTTTTAGCTTTTTCAAAAATACTATCGATTTGGAATTACTAGTTCCCAACCACTTATTGTAAAGCCAAATGAGAAGTTCAGGACTAATTTGTTCCGACAGCTTTGATCTATCTTTCAGAAATTAGACGATCCAGACTAAACTTTTTACAATAAGCGTCGGGAATTGCTCTTTGATTTATTATAATGAGCGGTTTGAAACTAATAACTATGACGTAATGTATTCTCAACAAAAGTAGAAAGAAAAAAAAATGAAATATGAGAGAATTTCTTAATCGCATTAATTATAAATAGGATGAAATATGAGAGAATTTCTTAACGGCACTTATTATAAATAGTATTAGGGTATTTTTTCTTTATTTTATTAAGTCAATTTGGAATAGGGAATATAATTTACCCCGTTTGGATATGAAATTTGAATTTTGGATCCTACCAGCATTTGAGTACAGAGTCAGATCAGAATCCAAACTTTGTATTTGAAGGATTTGGGTTCAAGTGGATCAGCTCCAGATCCCCGTCAAAATTTTTAAATAATATGTTATATTTATCAAGGATGAGGTTTCTATAAACCCTAGGCTTTATGAAAACAAAATGACTCTCACCTCAAATTCTCGTTCTAGAAGCACTTTTGGCATAAAAAATCTTCATGATGTCTCTAAAATCAATTTCAAACACTAACAATAAATTTTGAAACTAAAAAAATAATATAGATCTTGCTGTTCTATAAATTTATTTTTAGGGTGAGATGGACGGTCTAGATTATTTATTATAACATACACTAATTTTAGAGCTTAAAATTCTAATTTTCTTTTACAATCATGATGTTCAAGCCGAGATGATCAATTTAAAGGTTTTCCAACACTTAAATTGCAATTTACAGTGAGTTATGAGATGAGGCTTTACTTAATTTGATAGGGCCGCAGCCCTAGCAAACTATTTTCCATTTATTAATTTATGTATATAATATACAGAAAGCTGTTTCATGCTGTTTGGACTGCATTTCTACAATATGCAATCTAGAGGTGATATGCAAATAGGTAGTTCATCTAAAAACAATAGTAACTAACGGTCCAAATGTTTTCTTGCTATAAATACTGTTTTTAGTTTTCAAAATTTATTTGGTTTTCATATCCGTGATCTCCAAGTCAAATATTATATATTTTTAAAAAATTCAGATCAAATTATATTTACAAAATATATTTATTGCCAAGCCCACATTTCTACAATATGTGGGCTGGCTACATAAAAACCGTATCCACAATATATATGAAGAAAAAGTCTGTATAAGGTTGCAACCTTAAAATGTAGAATTAAAGATGGACCTAAAAAATCAATTGGAGAAAGGTTGTTTTAATATTGAAAAACCCTCTAATTAATCATCTCGACATTGAGATTTATGAATATTGAAAAAAAAAAAGATTTTGAGTCTTAGAAATAGTGCATCTTGCAATAGATCGTTTATTTCCAAGATTTTCATATGTTTATAGATCTACTTGATTTTCAATATTTTTGAAGTTTAAAATTTTATAATTAAGATATGAAAATAGATTTTAAGATAATAAGAATTTTTTACATCAAAATTGCATCTCATTATAAAGTTTGGAGGTACGCCGTAATTGGATTGTTTAAGGCTGCAACCTTATAGAAACCACACCCTATGTATAATTTTCTCTACTTTCTCTACTCTCTCTAAACTCCTGAAATAGGGTTTAAACGCATCCCGCTATTTGTCTGCGAGTTTCGCCTCTGCGTCTACGAGTGCAACTCTGTAAAACACAGTCGCTCCAAACAGGTATGCCTAATCCTTTCTCCATTACTCTTACGAGTGTTTCTAAGGTTCTTGCGCGCAGAAAAAAGTTTCCGCCAAAACGTAGATTTCTCTCATCTGTCAGTTTGTTTTTTGTTTTTTTTTTGTTTTTTTAAGCTCGTTTTGAAGTTCTTTGAATCCCCTACAAAAATCCTAAATTTATTTTTAGTTTTGTTGCTCAAATGCGAACATTTACTTTTGATTGCTGTTGAAGATCCTTGAATCCCCTACAAAAACCCTAAATCTATATTCTTAGTTATTGCTGTTGAAGATCTTTGATTGCTTATTTCTTTTTTATTTTGTGCTTGAAGTAGTGCCTTTTTGTCCATACCTATTCATCGTGAATTTTTGATAAATATTCATCACAAATTTTTTTTGTATTGTTTCTGGTGTTTAGTCTGTTGCTTGTCCTTGTTTTCGTCTTTACTTTAATTTATTTGAAGTTGAGGTTTTCATTTTCTTTTTGGATAAGTAAATTTGAGGCTTTCACTGTGGAACCGGAACCCATTGATTTTTTGAATTATGGTCGAAGATGCAGTTAGGTTCTCGTGAGAGAGATAAAGAAGATGGGACTATTTAGTTAGTTAGGAACCCATCTCTTGGGGGCTTTAGGATGCAGAGGCCAATCATGGTTCTCACCACCAATTCAAAGCACAGAAATTCTATTCGTTCATCGAACTCAGTTTAGCACCTGGCTTTATCAAGATAGTGCCAACTTTGTACCGAGAGGAACTTTTTTACTTTCTTTATTTTTTTTCACATTTTTGTTATTGCACTGATTTCAAGAAATTAAAGGCACCATTTTGCAAGCTTACAGTTGCAAGTCTTGCCTTCTTGTATCCCAGCTCTGCAAATTGTTGTAGAATAGCTCATTCTGGTGTATTTCCTTTTGAATTCCGTGTTAAATGGACTAAGCTTTTGTGGTTTTTGATCCAGCAAAATTCAAGACCCTGTGCCATAGTTTAGTATGTTTCAAAGTTTTCATTTTCTGACAAAACCTGTTTCAGATTTATGATAACTTGAAGCCTGTGTGTGGGTCAAGTAGAAACCATACTTGGTAACTGATTTTGATAATTCATAAATATGTATTTCCTATTGAAACCAACCTTATCGGGAGTCTTTTTTTTTTAAAAGAGAATGTTTCTGTTATCTAGGGTCAGTAATCCAGAAAAATGGAGAGATTAAGCAAGATGTCGCACATAAAATTAGAGCTGGGTGGGCGAAGTGGAGATCTACCGCAGTTTTTTGTGATCACCGCATACTTTTGAGCTGAAATGCCTTTGCATCAAAGTTTTTCAAATTTCAAGTATGCTATTATATTTCCTTCTTTAGTCTCAATGGTATACGACGATCACATAAAACTGCAGATGTGCATCTCCATTTCGCCCACTCAGCTCTAATTCTATGTGCAGCATCTTCTTTAATATCTCCATTCGCCCGGATTATTGACCCTAGATATTGGAAACAATCTATTTTAGGTATTTATGCATCTATGCCTCTTTTAATCCATGTTCGAACAATTTCACTAGCTTGTTAGAAAGTATATTGAACATTTCGCATTTGACAAAGCGTTTCCCCATCTCCACATTATACAGCTGGCTTCATAAAAAAAAAAAAAAATCCAAATAGTTGCAACTTCATTTCTTGGAGGATCCCTTGAAAGATGAGATATCCACCCTCAAAAGAAGGAAGAATTTGAATATAGAGGCTGTTGTGTTTTTTGTGTCAATTATTTCTGCCTATGGGTTGTTTTCTTGTATTTACAAAGTTAGACTGTATGTTGTCTATTTATCTATACTATGTTGTTGCAGTCACTGATATGTTTCTTGTTGCTTATTGCAGTTGGACTATGGAAGAGGATGCTAATGTAAGTTTCTTTGAGAACTTGACTTTGTTGACCTTCTCTCCTGTATATATTATTTTCTGTACACGTTTTTTTATTTTAACCCAAAGTTTCCTTTTATTGTGATCTTGGAATCTTGAAAAATGCTTCAGGTTGTCATCTGATTGCTTTATACGGTTTGATGTATTTATGAGCAATTAGTTATATGGGGATGCTAGAGATGTAGAACTGGTTTGAAAATATTTAAAGCTGTTGCTGATTGTACATAATTTACCGAGCAATTTCTAGTTTTAGAGGCCACCTGATTGTGGTAGCAATGCAGCATGGTTATTGTTTTTATCGTGCTTTGGTTCTTTGAATGAATATTGGGTATTTTGGTCCTTTATTGGGTGGGTCTAATTGATAATAGTTCCTTAAAATTTTTGGAAGTGGTTCCACATATGCTAATGTATTTTGTTTTTTCCATAGTTATTAGACTTACATATCTGTCAGCTTATTTTTTCATTCAGATTTTCCTGTATCTATGTATCTTATTCCCAAGCAGTATAACATGCAGTTGGCCTCTTCCTTATGATCAGGATATTCTAGCAAATATTCTGTTTTATAAGATGTATTAAAACGAGAAGGTTATTTCTATTACCCTTCTATGTATACATTTGATGCTGACCTATAATGCACATGGTAGCTATTATTCAGGGTTCATTAAAGTTTACTACCATCCATACTTAATTTACTCTTCATTTACTACTTTACTGAGCCTGGTGCTATCGTGTATATGTGCTTCCAATTCCCTTAGAGGCATCTGTAAAAGTTAGATTGGACTTTTGCCTCGTCATCTGTGAACTAAAATTTCCTTGGTCTCAATTTGTGAGACTTGTGCCAGATCTGGCAACTTTAGCTGGTGCATAATTGAAATCTTCAGTCTCTCTCCCAATTGGATATGGAATGACTCTCGCTTACAGTTGTCTATGATGACACAACTTTGTCGTATATGGTGGTACAGATTGTCTACTCCCTTGAACATCAGAAACCAACAGTCCTTTTTTACTCCTTTACTCTATGATAACTGGTGACTGTTTATGAAATGTGGCATTCCCATTCTGTTGGCTGTGTTCCCACCTGGAAGTTTTCCTGGGGACTTTGAATGGCCTCATGCACATTTGAAGTAGCTCTACCTTTTTGCTTGCCAATATAGGCTCATCTACAAATAGGAACTGTATACAATGGAGCAAATTATACTCCATAATGTAAGTTGTTGGTCGTTGTCATTCCCTAATCTAGGAAGCCTAAATGTATATGTCTCATTTTTCAGTAACTTGAGCTTTATGACTTTTTTGAAATTGAAATTAATTTCATGGGTTTGCTCTTGCTCGCTCTATCGATGCACACTTGCACAGTTTCCTGTGTTTTTTGTTTGTAACTTTTTCTATACAAGAATTTCAAGGTTCCGAGTAATGTTTTCGTTTTTATGCATGGGTACAAATTTTGTTATGATACAATTTTTCTCGTATTATTGTACGAGTGATTCTGTTCATGTTTTAGATGATTTAAGTAATGAAATATTTTATACATATGAAAATAAGATTAATAGATCTTCCATATCTAGGAGAAACTGAAGGGATCTTGCATCATTATGATGATTTCGTTGCAACATTCTGTCCCTATGATGGACATGGTTAGAAAGATCAAATTCTAATTGTCCGAAGTTGTGCAAACTTTTTGCTGTTCAAAAAATAAAAAAAAAAGAAGAAAGTTGCCCCAAACTTTATTTTTGGTAAGATCTAACTAAACTTCAATATATTCCACGACTCCCATGCAGTGTTAAAAAATTATTCCGTGATGATTTGGAGCTTCTCTCTAGACCTCTTTAGAGGATGTTAGTTTATAGTAGTGTTAGTGACAGGATCAGTAGTTTTTCTGGCTGTCTTTATCCTATCCAATTGAGAGGGCACTTTTTTGAAGTATCTGTAGCTGTCTTCTAGTTATTTAGAAAGAGAGTAAATCAAGGATCTTCATAATATATATATATATATATATATATGTAGGAAAAACCTAAAAAACACCTATAGGCAAAGTGCTACAGTATTTCGCCTCCGTCACGGACTTGCTATGTCTGTGGCGGTTTATTGAACGGATCCGCAACGGACGATACTGTTCGTTGCGGTTCGACGTGAATTTTTAGACCGCCACAGACCTAGTATGTCCGTGACGGTACCAACCACGAACATGCTTAGGTCCGTGGCGTCGAAAAACACACACCGTCCGATTTTTTCAGACGGCGATTAGCCGATGGGCAAAATCACTGTAGCATTTTGCCCGTAGGCGTTGTGTAGATGCTTCTATATATATATATATATATATATATATATATAGTGTGTGTGTGTGTGTCGTGTGTAGTAA